AGTACCTGGATGAATTCTGAGTTGTTGACTTTTGACCCCTTTGTCAAGTAAAGGAAACAAAACTCATTTTCCAAGTGGTTCACTCCTTATCATTTTAAGTTCTCTAGGCAAAAGGAGTTTTGTTTGCTAGAATTACCACTCTAGATTCTTACTTTCAAATTAAGCCATATATTTCCCCATTATCTTGCTATTTCTATGTATATATTCTTTGTATTCAGCTATTTTCGTGAGTGTCAGCTGGCTTAGTTGAACTTAACCCACCATTCATAATAAACTTAATTTCTTTGCCTTTTTGAAATAATTCAGTAGAGACATGCAAGCCCAAAACTCTTAACTCACTCAGAACATTGATGGGTATGCTATTTTTGTCCTAAAATAGAAATATTTTACCAGAAGCAAGCATAAGACTGAGTCAGAGGTTTTGAGTAAGAATATTTGTTGATCTTTTTTTCTAGATAACAGAAAAACTGGTACAAGCTCGTTCTGATAACAAAGAACTACAGGAGAAATTAAATACTGTAACCAGACAATATAAGATTGTCTTAAAGGAAGAAGAAAATGATTTTGTGCGGAAACAGAAATTAGCTGAAGAGTATGTTTCTGTCTATGAAGCAGCATGCTATAGTTTTGGGGTGATGCCATTGCTCTCAAAATGGTGACTTTCCACTTAGGCTTATCCTTGTTTTATTATATATTGACAAGAACTAAGTAATCTTTATCTGATTATAAGTAAATACACTTCTAGTTTGCCTCTATAATAGTGGGTAATGGTTTCTTCATCTGGGCAAGACCAAACCCATAAGCATCAAATGTATGTTTTTTTCTTTTAAGTTAGATTCTTGAAAGAAAAAAAAGACAATTTTACCATTGAGACTATGTTGAGAATTATGAGATCTGCATTTGTCAAGAACTGGCTCAGAGACTGGGGGAGTATCCAAAGAAATGCTTATCTTCACTACCCATGAGACTCTATTTGATCACCACCCCTTGTCATCCGGCCTCTCAGACATTCCCCACTGTATCATATCTTCCTCTCCAATTCTGTGCTTTTCAACCTTCCCAGTCTCCGCTTGGCTAGTCTCTCAGAAGCCCTTCCCACCTTCTGCTTTTATCGCACCTAACTCACCTCTCTTCCACCTCTCTGAAGCTTTGTCATTAAATCACATGCAAGTGCAATTAGTGTTCAGCCCTCTTAGGTGAAGCTGAGTTTGTTCATGGTTGAAGCAGTTAGGCTGCAGAGAATTGTTGCAATTATTTCATCTCATTCAACTGAGCAGCTTACTGAGAATTACAGTAGGTTTCACACAATAACTTTACTTGGATCAAAGCTGTTATCATTTGAATCATAAAGTATGCCAATGACAAATAATTATATCACTAAAACATTTACTACCTTTAACTGGTTTTTATTTTCAGCTTGAGTCACCAGCAAAACACCGTTGACTAGGTGGTCTGACTAAGTTAATTTCTCACTTTGTCGAGGCTGCCTTCTCACTGTGACCTCCAGTGGGCATGGGGGTAAGGAAGGAGGAATGCTTCTGAAACCTTTCTTAAAATCCCATGATGAAGGTGGGACCATATCTGAACTTAATTCTCTTCCAAAGATCCCCATCCCCAAAGGCATATCATTGGGAGTTAAGATTTCAGTGTATAAGAAGGACACAATTCAGTTCACAGCAGTCTTGAAGAAGACAAGCTACTCAGATAAAGTACTTTTCTTTTATAGTCATATTCCTATCAATTTGGGAAACAAACAAAACCTTGCACTCCTAGTTTTCTCTATGCAAGCTGGAGAGAAAAATAACCACTTTTTATAAAATACCTCATGGGTGCCTGACCCTGTCTTGATCACTTCTTATTTAATCCTTGTCTGGGAGAGAGGCATTGTGATGCCCATGTTATGGGTGGTGAAACAAAGCCACCTCCACCAGTGATGTTTCTTTTCAAGGTCATGCTGCAGGGTACAGTAATCAAACTTCATGTGACTCCATTACCTCACAAGAACTCGACAGACTTGACCAATGCATGAGAGACTTGGCACACAGAGGGCTGCAGTACTAGAGAATTGTTCTTGTCTCATGGTTACTTTTACAGTTAGGTTCTTCCCATAGCTTGGAAATTTTCCTAAGTTTAGATTTAGTCACTACTGGCAAAAAGACTTTGTTTTTAATTTTTGCTACTTTATTTGGTGAATCATTTATGAACTGAACTTTCCAAACTGCTTTTTAAGTTCTTATTTGTGATTACGTATTTTCTCACGCTAAAGCATGAAAAGCAATTATTTGAATCTCAACATATGATAGCTCTGTCTCTTCATGATAGAAATAAAAAGCAACTGGAGTTCATGACTAAGAAAGAGCAATTTCTATTAAAAAGAAAAGTAGACATCAAAAATATGGAAGAAGGACTTGTCACATTGAAAGACCTTCTGAGGTATGTTTGTTATCTTCAGAATTTTGAATTTTCATTTGTCTCTGCATTCACTGATAAATGATAAAATAAATCTAAGTTAATTTCTAATGTATTCTAGAAGTCAGTTTTATTATGAATTCTGTTTTGCAGTCTGGAAAATTCACTCTCATTGAACCTTTCATTGAAATGAAAGGCCAGTGTTAAGTTCTATCAAAACACTGGACACAAAAGTGGATTGTTCCTGGATGTCATTACAATACCAACCCCTTATGAGGTTCATTTCGCCATTCTAAATCATTGTCATTTTTCTAATTAAAGAAGTATGTAAAGGTTGTACCTGACTTTTAATTTCCAGTATAGAAATGTGTAACTTATAGAATAAAACTGATGCTAATCTATCTCTCCACAAAGATATTGCTGTTCACAGTTTGCTCTTTCTGCCTTCAAATAGATATATTTGCATATGTGTATGAGTTATATTGTACTATAACTAAAAGTTATATTGTACTATTCTAGAATTGGATTTTTCCACTTAAAATATCTGACTAATTTATACAATGTTATATGTCAATTATATTGCAATAAAGCTGGGAAAAATCAGTTTTAGACTCAACAATGAAATGTAAAAATCAGTATAAAGAATTCCCATATATTCTTACCAACTTCTCCAAATTTTTCTAGTTTACCATATTTGTCTTTGTCATTCTTCCAGATGTGATTTTTTCCATGACCTAAGTATAGGACAACAAAGAGACTGGATTATAGAACTCAAATAGGTAGCGATAAAATTTGGTACAAACTGCCAGAAATCTAGAATACTGTAAGAATACTATACTATACTGTAAGAATACTATACTATATTCCATATACCATACTGTATTCTATACCATAGAATACTATACTATAAGTGTCTAATCTCTCATTCTGTATGAATAAGCAGGAAAATGGATTTGGGATTAATAGTTTTACATTTTCCCCATGAAGAAAGTAAATTTATAACCAACTGTATCATCATTACTCTGGTCACCAGGAAATTCAGGGCCAAATTTTGGCTCAGTATTGCTATTCATTTGGGAGTTTTCCTATTATTATAGTATTTTATTGTTAAATTAGTTCAACCCCTCTATGGATAAATTCAATATGTAAATAGTTAATCTGGGGCTAACTTTGAAGAACCATATAATTCCAAGGGTGATATTGGATCTATTTAGATAGGAAGTGGATAGTTTACACTTTGCTTTCAAATAAAGGAAGGCGTGTGAGCACAGTTGTGCTTCTGGTTTATTTAACGGTCTTTTCATATTTGGTCTTATTTATGAATAGTTCTATCTTTCAAAAGATATATGTGAGCTTCAACTTATTTTTGTCCACAAAGCCCTTAATAGGAAAAAAAAAATGGAGTAAAACTGATAAAGACTTCTAAAACCTCTGTTAGTCTTCATATTTCTATCCAGCCTACCACAAGAAAGTCTTCCATTCTTAATACTTCCCCTCAGTCTAAGAATCTCTATGACTTTCTGAATATACCCCATAGCAAATAAGACCTTAATCCAGAGTGCAGAGACGCTCACACTTTTGTTGACTTTCACTCATCATTGCTGTGGTGTTCCTGCTCATGTATACAGCAAGCCTGTATACAGCAAGCCTGCCAAAGTCACCCCACTCCCGACTAGCTCCCCCTTTTCCAGTGATGACACCCTTTGCACCTCCAGTCTGGCCATCCATCTTCCCTCTTTAACAAATTAACCTTCTTCATGTACCTTCCCTGAATCTGTTCTTTGCTACCTTCCTTAGGTATTCATCTCAATACTTAAAAAGCTATTTTCAGTTGCACAAAATTGTAGTTGTTTATCTTTTTGGCTGTAACTAATGTTTTTAGTTATGTGACAAGGTTTATTTTGTCTTCCAATTAGATGGTAGAATTTTATGTATCCTAACAGCACCCGCAAAGGCAAAATCCAATATATTTTTTTTGCTTTTAGAGCGACACAGGAAATATACCGAAAGCAAATAAGAATCCTGAATGATAACATGCAAAGGGAATATCAGAGATGGTAAAGAAAAATTTCATTTTTTTTTTTAGTAGTACGTGTCATCTTATTGAACAGTGACCCTAAGGTGGAAGAAACCCCAGTGGTTCTTTGTTCCTGGAGTGCAAGGAATCAGTTTACCTAAATCAAATTATGTGAGATCTTTTGCCTCGAATTGTGTTTGTTAGTCTGGTTTCTTTGGCATTGAACAGAACCAGAGTTGCCCATTTCAAATCAAGTGAAATCACCAAGAGTAACATTGCTGAGGTCTGTGTGGTGACTCTTGCTGACAGGCTTCCGTGTGGGCTCCAGGAAGGTGACGCGTGGTGGCAAAGGAGAGTGTTAAGCCAATCGGAGCTGCAGGTGGAGTAGCGTAGCCATGCTCCCTTTTACTAATTCTGCAACCAAGATTCAGTTTGGTGCTTGTTTTTGCTTACCTCACCTCTCTATAAAGTGAGAAAT